ATGCATGCATGCATATACATACATGCGTACATACAAGTACATACGTACACACACACACACATGCATGCACATACGTACAGACTTTACGTGCACACATACATGCATACACGCATACATCCATACATCCATGCATGCATGCATATACATACATACGTACATATACGTACATACGTACACACACACACATGCATGCACATACGTGCATACTTTAAATACATACATACATACATACATACATACATACGTACGTACATTCACAGTCTCTCCATGGTGATGCTAAACAAACTTTCTGAAGAGTTCGGGCGGCTAATGTGCCTGGTAAATGGAAGCCAAGCGACCAAGCGATGTACGTGTGTCAGACGACCAATGAAAAGCATCACTAACGAAGCGGTAGAACCGCAGAGAATTGACGCAAGGAGTAGGCTAGTATTTCGTAGACAATTCTGTTGTGTTTACGAAGCCGTCAGACTTACGGCTGTGTCAAAGTTTCCTCATAGTCTTATTAACCACTACCTGTCCCAAGCCCATGCACACTCTCTATTCATCTCTCTCGCTGTCGCTCGCCCTGCCTCTCTCTCTCTCCCCTCCCTCTCTTCTGCTAGTACGTATCCGTATGTTGCCATGCATATAGGCATACAGTTATACATAATATATACATACACACAGCGACGAAAGATGAAAGGAACTGCGACTTGCAGCTGTAGCTACACTACTAGTTTGAGAGGGTTGTTGTTTTGAAGACACGGGTTTACGAAGTTAAAATATATTGTATTATATTATATTATATTATATTATATTATATTATATTATATTATATTATTTTATTTTATTATATTATATTGTATTATATTATATTATATTATATTATATTATATTATATTATGTTATATTATATTATATTCTATAATATTATATTATATTTAGTATGGTCTTTGGGCCCAAAAGCCTTGAACTAGTTAGAATGAACTCCTGAAGCCCATGAGTCCTTGAACACTAAAGAGAACCCTGCACTGCTCGCCCGGCTTATGGTTTAGCATTCAGGGGCTAGGGTTTAGGGTTTAGGATTTAGGGGGTAGGGTTTAGGGTTTAGGATTTAGGATTTAGGGGCTACAAGCACGGCCACTGCAATTGACATGAGCGCCTCGGACCAGTCGAAAACGCTCAGCATGCCCACGACAGGCATCGTGTACCTTGTTCGTTTTTGCCTAGCATACCAGAGTTCATTCCTAAACCCTAAACCCTAACCCTAAAATTAATGTATGGCTTTATGGCCCCTGTGGCCTTTGAGCTTCATGGGCTGAGGGTTTTCAGGCAGTTGCTGTGGACTACAGAGCAACTTCTTACTCTCAACCCTGCACCCCTACACCCATAAGGTCCCAAACTTCCCTAAAGCCCTAAACTCTAAACCCTGAACCCTAAACCCTAAACCCCTAAACCCTAAACCCTCAAAGTAAGCCCGCAACTTCTAGATGCTATACGGGACCCCAGGCCGCTGGGCTGCGTCACAGCTACCTGGCCCTTCGACATACACCCTGGCCACAGTCTAGACCTAGGGTTTAGGGTTTAGGGTTTAGGGTTTAGGGTTTAGGGTTTAGGGTTTAGGGTTTAGGTGGCCCAGTTTCCGACAAAAAAAAAAGATTGGCTATGTAGGATTATTGAGCATCCCTAAACGGTCATACCCTAAGCCCTAAGACCTTGCCCGGTTTCCTAAAGTTTGGCGATGTGGGAGTTTCCGAAAAAAAAGGGTACCTGATTTTGGGATCCTTATAATAAGGATCCTACTATTTAGGTTACTATAGAAGGGCCCCCTATTTTTGGAAACCCCCATGTAGGATTATTGAGTATCCCGCAATGGTCATACCCTAAGCCCTAAGCCCTTAACCGTATTTACTCTACTGCTACTAAGAAGACGGCTCGTCATCCCTGCAAATGAGCCTTAGGGTTCATTGTAGGGTTTAGAGCATAGGGTCTAGGGTTTTAGTGTTTGAGTTTTAAGGCTTCGGGTTTGTGGTTAGGGCTTGGGTTACAAAAATTCGTGAAATCAGGCACCTGACCTCTGAGATCCAAGTGCCTGAGATCGCCCACAAAGCAAAAGGGGAATCCCGCACGTGAAGCATTGGACCTGACGTCCCAAAATCCTTAAGCCTGTGACCTAAATCCTGTAAACCCCGATCCCATAAACTTCCAAACCAGAATCCCCCACAAAAAGGACTTGGAAGTAAACCCGGTACAGTCGGCAAATCTGTTCTACACTAGAACACCCCAAATCAATTCCTTTCAAGTTCAACTTCATGTGAACCCCTGTCACACCCCAACACCTACCACAGAAAGCCTCAACCCGAAACTCGAATGCCCCTTCACACCTAAACCCTAAACCCTAAAACCTAAAACCCCAACTAATAGCCCTAAACGGCCCTGAACCCAAAAGCTGCAGGAACCTGAAAATTCTGAACCCTATGGACCCTCAGCCCTAAACGCAACTCTAACCCTTACTCCCACAACCCAAAACCCTGAAACCCTGAAGCCCTAACACCCTCAACAAAAAGAACGAAACCCACACCCAAAAACCCGAATCCCCCAAACCCAAAACAAAGAACACGCAGCAAACCAAAAAAACAAAATTATATATATATATATATATTAATTATTTATTTATCTATCTATTTATTTATTTATATTTATTTATTTACTTATTTATTTATTTATTTATATTTATTTATTTACTTATTTATTTATTTATCTATGTATTTATTTATTTATTTGTATATACTGCCGAGGATCTCTCCAAGAGCCAACTCTTTAAGGAAGTAGTCGGCCTGGAAAGCCCAGCTGTTTTTGTTTGCTGGTTCAGGGGCTTTGGGCTTGGGGTTTAGGGTTTAGGGTTTAGGGTTTAGGGTTTAGTTGGGTTTGGGGTTTTTTTCAGAGGAAACCGGGCCCTAAACCGGGGGTGAGCGATAAGGGCTTCCGAGAGAGGGGGGTTCGGGTTTGGGGCTGTGCGGGATTTAGTTACTTTGGGTTGAGGCTACAGGATTTAACGCACTTAGGGTTCAAGCAGAAGCTGTCATGCGTGGAACACTGGGGCTGTAAAACTTACTACTAGGTCGGTGCTGGCGGTAGCCCTGACGGAGGTAGGGATATTCAAGGCAGTTCAAGAACATGCTTGTTGCTTCACAGCCAGAAGACTTCAGATTCAGGTTGAGAGCATCTATGCATCCTACGCTCGGCTTCATCACTTGCTAGCGACCCTACAACAGAATGTCGACATGGCCTGGAACATCACGTCCCCGACGCTGGTTCCCGCGAGCCACTCTGGCTCGAAACCTCGGCGGTGCGAAATCGTTCTTGGGATTCTCGTGGTTCTCCCGCTCCTTCTCCCACGGAACCGGGGGCTATACTGAGGGAGTTTCTGATCTGTGAAGCTTAATTAATCTGCTACCCTGGGCTTCAACATTCATCTTACAGCCTGAATCTAAGGAGGTAGCCATCATCAAATCGACAAGAAAGAGTACCATAGAATATATATATATATATATATACACATATATACATATTTACATATTTACATATATATATATGTATATATACATATACATACATATGTATATATACATTATAAGTACATATACATATACATGTATGTGTACATATACATATACATGTACATATACATATCCATACACATATACATATACATATACATAAACATATACATATACATAAACATATATACATACATACATACATACATACATACATACATACATACATACATACATACATATATATATATATATACATCAGTATGGCCGCGGTTCGTTTCCGCGCGGTTCCCATGAAGCGAACCTTATT